TGGGTGCTTTCCTATGCATGTGCAGAGAGGGGACAACCCCCCACCCCACCTCACCCCTGCTTTCCTATGCATGTACAGAGAGGGGACAACCCCCTTACCCCACCTCACCCCTGCTTTCCTATGCATGTGCAGAGAGGGGACAACCCCCCACCCCACCTCACCCCTGCCCTCTGCATCTGTTCTGCTGTGAGCTGTTAACTTCCGCTGCCTCGATCTCCCTGGACTCAGGGTTCCTGTTTCCTCAATTCGGAGAGTCCCCCAGGCTGCCTCTGGGCTCCCCATCCCTGCGTGCCCTAGGGACGCGTTCTCTGCAGTCGGCAGGCAATTATGGCACTTATTTTGTTCGTCTCTTTTCTCCCAGGAATTACTGTCCTGGTGACTGGGGCCCAGTGTCTTGCAGGCTATTGTTTTTGTGTGTGTTCCAAATGTGGAAAGTGGGGGAGAGAGTCAGTCTGTATTCTGGAAATGCAGGTCCCTGTCTTTAGTTTCTATCACACATGGAGTTCCCAGCACTGCTGTACTCGGCCCTCTGATATCCCTTAGAACTGGTTTTCCCTCTCCCACCTTAGCTCTGCTCATGGATTTGTCTGTCTGAAGCCCCCTTTCCCTGTGGGGGCCTCTGTCTCCTTTTAGATGAGGGCATGTGTTCACTTTTGCTATGGATGTTTTTTCCTTCTAGGTCCATTGGTCAAGATGATCGTATTCTTGCTTTCCATCCCTCATAGCACCATGTGCCTTTATTCTTCCCTTTTTCTCTTCTCTTTGTTTGCCGACTCATCCGTCTGCTTATGGATTCATTCAACAGGCATTTCTGAGCATCCGTGTGTTCAAAGGTAACGGTGGCAGATGGCACAGACCTGGAGTCCTACTTCATACACTCAGGACTCACAGTCTAGCGAAGTCAACAGGCAATGATTAACCGCAACAGTGTGATGTCTTGTGTGTACACATGTAAGGAGAAATGATCGATCCAGCAAGCATAGGGTGTGGGCAGCTTCGTTAAAGGCTTCAAAGAGGAAATTATGCTTGGGCTGAATCATGGAAGGTCACTAGGAAATGAACAAGTTCTGTTCTTCGGTTGGGTCCCATCCCTCTGCCCACTCTTTTGCCCCATCCTCAGTTTCCCTTCTTTTAAGCCAGTGGTTCTTAGCTGAGGGGGATGTTGCACCCTCCCCGTCCCGCCCAAGGATATCTGGCAATGTTTACAGGCGGCATTTTGTGTTGTCCTCACTCAGCTCACTCAGCGTCTGCCACTCACCTCTCACAGATAGAGACCAGGAACGTTAGACATCCTACCGTGAGGAGGCCAGCCACCTCCCCTCAGCAAAGACTGATCAAATCCCCAATGTCAACAGTGGCAGAGTTGAGAAACAGTACTGTAATTCAGCAAATATTTGTAGAGCACCTGCTATGTCCTAAGTGGCCCAGATGCTAGGGAGACACAGTGGAGAACAGCCTCCCAGGCTTGCATTCCAGGGGCGCAAAGAGATGCAGACTGCGAAAACAGATGTAGCACATCGGACAGTGGCCAGTGCCGCTATGAAAGCCAGGCAGGCAAAGCCGACAGGTGTGTTGTGGGGTTTGCAGACTTTTAAATGGGGTGGTCAGGGCAGACACGACCAGAAATAGCATGAACTAGGTATAGGAAGGCAGTACAGGAGGAACCAATGCAGGAGTGTGATGGGCGTGTTCTAGAAGGCGGACGGAGGTCAGGATGCTTGGAAAGAGGGTGCTAAGTCCAGCCCTAGGAGGGACTGCCCCCTATCAGCTGCCATATTTGACGTTTTAGACAAACTGTGTAACTCCTGAACGTCCCACACTTTCCATTACATAGTTTAAATGCTGATAACAGGAATGGGAGAGATGGCTCTGTTCTTCCACAGGCCCCAAGTTTGGTTCCCAGCACCTACATCAGGTAGCTCACAACTGCCTGTAACGCTACTTCCAGAGAAACTGATGCCTTCTTCTGGCCGCCTCAGCTCCAGTCCTCATGTGCACATATCTACACATACACATAATTTAAAGCAAGTCACACACACACACACACACACACACACACACACACACACACAGACACAGACACACAGACACACAGACACACACACACATGCACA